CTTCTCTTCTCTTCTCTTCTCTTCTCTTCTCTTCTCTTCTCTTCTCTTTTCTTCTTTCTTTTTATTTCTTTTCTTTTCTTTTCTCTTTTTTTTCTTTTTCTTTTTTTTTCCATAGGGCACATGAACTGGCAGGAGAGAGACAGAGAGACACAGAGAGGGAAAGTGAGAAATCTTCCCTCTAAGAGGAATGCTGCGCCTGGAGTAATTTTCAAGCCACCAGATCTGAAACTCAAAACTCTTGTGCTATGTAGGAATCCAATACCTTAACCACCACGCCACCTGCTGGCCCCCATTCAGCTTTTTCTTAAACTACATCATACAAAGTCAAGTAACCAATATCAGATCAGAGTAATTCACCTGAACAAACCTTAAGAAATACCAGTGAAATACAAATTGAATTAGAACAAACCTTAAGACACAAATATCTCACAGTTTGGAAAACAACAGTAACAACCACAACAAGAATAAAAGTAGACAAGTCCGATATGATTCATCCTTTCTTTCTCTGATTGATGCTTCTGGTTCCTCAATAAGAACAACATTGTGTCTATATGGACTTATTATTTTTGTGTGTGTGTGAGATTTTTGCTGTAGGATGCATGTGCTTGCTGGAGAGATATAGATAGAGAGAATGTGAGAAATTACCACCCTCCCCAGGAGGATGGCCATGCCACAATTTCTTCTCCTCCAGTCTCCTCTCAGGATTTTGGGCTTGCACACACACGCACTTGGCATGATTTTCAAGCTGCTGAGTCTGAGACTCAAACCACGGTCAACCATGTGGGAGTCTAGCACCTTAACTACATCACCTGCTGACCCAATTAATTTTAATATAAGAATATATAAAAATACTCTATTTTTAAACTTTTCTTTAATTATCCTCAGCAACTTTCATGGTATATAGAGATCTGAAATTTGAAAACCAGATTCAATAGTACATTTGTTTCCCTAATGATGGAAAGAACATGTTCACATGGTTATTGTTAACTGAACTCCTCTGGGTGGGTCCACTGTTTTTCCTTGGATAGAAACAGTTTAACATCCTGTGGATTAACTTGTAAATATGTTGCGCTTATTTTATAGTAAATGGTATTGATTGATTAAATGGCATACAATATATTCTACATCTTTTTTTTTTTTTAGATGATGATTATCAGGAAAAGAACCTTCCATCAGAGGCTGAAGAGCTATCATTTGAAGTATCTTATTCAGAAATGATCACAGAGGCTCCAAAAAGACATAAAATTAAGAAGTCAGAGATTAAGAAAGAAGACTATGCTTTAACTGTAAATACAACTTTTCATGACTATTCTAGTAACTTCTTGTGTCTTCACCATGGAACAAAACTGGATTTCTTTTTTTTTTTTTTTTACTATCTGTATGTGTCACGGGTACACTGGGGAGGCCAGGTAACTCTGTGCATACCATCATTTGGGGCGTCTTAGGTGTACAATTTTCTGTACAGGTCACAGCCTGCCTGGCTATAACCTGGCAGCCCCAAGTTGAGGAGAGCGATGAGGGTGTATGCTTGATAACCGTTTTACAGATGAAATAGCATTTCCACCTGGCTTGTGCACTTCCTTACACTTTACAGCCTTACTTAACTTAAAAATCACTTTAGACTCCAACTGTATTCGTGCTTGTGCCTTTATAAGCCACTTATTACAAGGGATAGTGCGGAAAGTCACAGTCATGGCAAGAAGTGAGAGATTGCAGACAGGGAGTCAAAATTCATCAGAACCATTTCAAGCATTGACATTATTACAAGTCAGCAAGTAGAGATGTATACTTTGTTATCCTGAAAGTCTCATTTTATGGATCCAGGCTATTACATCTTGAAGGCTCAATATAGAAAGTACGCTCCATTGATCTATTTGCTATTCATTAAATACATGTGTGAAGAGTCCACTTTTTTTTTTTTTTTTACTATCTGTATGTGTGCACGGGTACACTGGGGAGGCCAGGTAACTCTGTGCATACCATCATTTGGGGCGTCTTAGGTGTACAATTTTCTGTACAGGTCACAGCCTGCCTGGCTATAACCTGGCAGCCCCAAGTTGAGGAGAGCGATGAGGGTGTATGCTTGATAACCGTTTTACAGATGAAATAGCATTTCCACCTGGCTTGTGCACTTCCTTACACTTTACAGCCTTACTTAACTTAAAAATCACTTTAGACTCCAACTGTATTCGTGCTTGTGCCTTTATAAGCCACTTATTACAAGGGATAGTGTGGAAAGTCACAGTCATGGCAAGAAGTGAGAGATCGCAGACAGGGAGTCAAAATTCATCAGAACCATTTCAAGCATTGACATTATTACAAGTCAGCAAGTAGAGCTGTATACTTTGTTATCCTGAAAGTCTCGTTTTATGGATCCAGGCTATTACATCTTGAAGGCTCAATATAGAAAGTACGCTCCATTGATCTATTTGCTATTCATTAAATACATGTGTGAAGAGTCCACAGCGTGGAGTCCTGAATATGCTGACCAGGGCTGGAGGCATGAGTAGCAGTGCTCAGGCAGTTTCAAACCTGAGGGAATGAGTCATGTAGAAGCAAACGGTGCTAGGCAGCCGGTACCATTCCATACTACCACACCATGAAGAGGGGAGGAAGAGGACAGACAAGGACTGTAAGACTCTCTAAGTACCTTCTATAAGCCTGATACTGCCTAAGAGATTCAGTTCTAAAGTAGAACCATGATGGTCACTTCCATTTTACAGCTGAGGAAATTGAGGCCTAGCGGGGCTCAGTAATACATCCAAAGCCCTACAACTGGTAGGAGGTAGAAAACAGGATTTAAACTTAAGCCTGTCAAAGCTTCAAAGCCCTTTCTAATCCCTATGTAGTCTCCATGTTGGAATCCAGAGTGGGGTTCTAGGGCAAAAGGGGCACCCCAATGGCACTCCAGTTTTGAGGGGAACCCCTTTTTGTTGTTTGCTGTAGAGTCATGCAAAAGAGGATTCTGATCCCTCCTCATCAAAGCTGTCTTCCCATGAAGTTTGATTTATCTGGTGTGTAGGTCAGTCTCCCATGAAGAATTTTTCATAGGGCTCAGCACACAGAGTAATCGCTCAATACAAGATGATGGTGCTTGTCATATACAAGGGGTCTTAGAAAAGTTCATGGGTACAGATGTTATGTAAAAACTATACCTAGATTTTAAAACTTTTTTGGCATGAAAATAGATTTTTATATTACTTCCAATTTTTTCACAAACGTTTTGAAGACTTTTCATATCATCACTATGGAGGGGGTCTTGGTTTCAGAAAAAAGGTCAGATAGCTAAGTGTTTAATAGAGCACACAGGATGTCTCCAACCACATCCTACATTTTGTTGTTGTACTTTTACATACTTGGGGTTTTGAAAACAATAGTCAAATGAATAGTGAATGAACAGATAGATGGATGGTTCGATGGCTTAAAAAGCCCCAGGAAGTTCTAATTTAGGGAACCCCAGTGGGGAATGTGTAATTCAAATAATTATGGGATTTTTCTACTTTAGTATTTTTTTAAATACCAAGTTTTCTGAGGGCAACGTGCACCTGCAGATATTATATAAGAGCAATCTTTTGCTTTTGAAGTGCTTATGCTTTTATTTTTCACAATATTTCTGAATTATTGAAGGATTTGTTGTTACTATTTTAGCATATTTTATTTCTTAGTGTGAAAACAGGAAATATAACAATATAGTTGTCTTCAAAATCATAATAGGACTATTTGCGGTTTCTGTGAATTTTAGTTTTTTTTAAGAATTTTTTTAAGAATTACGCCTGCTGGCATAGTGGTAAAGACACTGGACTCCCACGTGATCAACTGTGGTTCAGTCCCAGACCTGGTGGCTTGAAACACCCTAGGTGCATGTGCACGTGTGCTCAAAATCCCAAGAGGAGAATGGAGTAGAAAGGATTGTGACATGGTTATCCCTCAGGGGGTAATTTCTTGCTTCCTGTCTCTGTCTCTCTGGCAAGCACACATGCCCTATAGCAAAATTTTCCTTAATTAAAAAGAATTTGGAATCATCTAAAGTTGATATTTAAGGTCAACTAATTGCTGTCTCTGTGAGTTTATAGAATCAATTTAAATTGAGAGATTACAGTCTTTTTAAAGTATATAATAGGGAATAGATGAAACCTGATTTAAAAGTTGACAACCCCCAAAAAAAGGATTCATCTAAAGCTCTCCTGAGATGTACCTTGATGTGTTGCCTTACATGTCTGTTACATGTAATCTAGATTACTGGTCTGTAGTATGTACATTCTATGAAGATCCATGTACGTTGCTTAACAATATGCACTATTCCTTGTAAGAATAGTTTCCAAAGTTGTTATAATAATGTTATTATATACTTTAGACTACTATTTTGCTTCAGATTAGCATAGTGACCTGTAATAAATGTTCCAAGAAACATATCCATAATATTTCTATGATGCATTATGCTTCTTACTGGCTTTTGACAGAAAGTGGGAGAATATGGAAGATGTACTGCTGAGTGAGGCAAGCCAGGCTATGAAGGAGAGACATTGTATGTCCCCACTTAACATATACTGTATGTCTGCATTCTATGACTGAAACTGATTGACTAACAGTTGAACAAACACAAGAGATGGGTGTGAATGTCAGACGAGGTGTATGTGGAGGAGGAGTGAGGCCTAACGAAGGACATTTGGGAAAGGGATACAGAGGTAGAGCATTGTTGGGATGGGGAGGTGTGGTGTTATCTGTTAAAGATATTTTGATCAACGGGTCTGGGGAGAAATGTCCACATATCGAAATGGTCTCATTGTAAGTCAAACAATATGATTGAAAATATATACAAAAAACAAGTAATAAATAATGTGAAAAAAAGATTTTTTTGCAAATCGTGTGTTTTGCTATATAGATCTAGAAAGTCCAGATGGCATTTTCCTTTGCCATAAAAAATTAATATCCTCACCATATATTTTAGATGTTTATTGTTCAGAAAACCCGACTTGGTTTAACTGAAGCTAGAGATCTGTCTGCTGAAGACATGAAGAAAATTCGCCATCTCTCTCTGATTGAGTTGACTGCCTTTTTTGATGCCTTTGGAATTCAACTGAAAAGAACCAAAACAGAGAAAGTAAAAGGACGAGGTAACTCAGAGGACTGATGGCTTCTGATCTGAACACTTTGACAAGATGGAAAACGATAATGCTTTTCTGATTCTTTTCTCTTTCTCCCTTGACTATTTCATAATGAAGACAATGGTATTTTTGGAGTTCCACTTACAGTCCTTCTGGACAATGACAGAAAGAAAGACCCTGGAGTGAAAGTTCCTCTGGTATTACAAAAAGTGAGTAAATGCAAATGCATGAGGGATTAAGAGTCTCTTACTTGTGACTTGGAACTTTGTAAGCAACCCCACTAATGAATTTTTTTTTAGATTTAAAGACACTGCCACCCTCTTAAGACCCAGGCCCTGGGTTATTTTTAGCTCGATGCCATGGATATGCATCCTTATAACGAATGACTCACAAGCACTTGGAACAGTTGGCCTGGCTGCATGTTTTTGGAAACCTGTTCCATTATTTTACCATGAAGCATCCGGTGATGGGCACAGATGCTTAGTCTCAAGGTTTCCTTCACTCATTTATTTTTTTTTTCAGTATTTTTTCAAATGTTAATTTTTGCATAAATACATATTTGTATGTATATTTGGTTATTCTGTCTGGATATAGGTGACTATTAATTAATAACAATGCACGTAGGACCATACAAGTATTTACTAAGATGTTATTAGGCTGAGATTTTTAATGTGTATGTGTAATTATCTCATGAATTTTTTGAACAGAAGTGAACAAAGTCTAAATTTCAATTTGTTCTTATATCTTTTCTGGTGAGATTGGGCAAATAGGATACATTTAGATGAAGAGAAAAATTTCAGTAGAAGGAAGTTTTGAAAATATTACTTGAACTATCATATTCAAATCTCTCTGTCACTATCATTGCTGAATAGGTAATTATCTTTTAAGTCATTTTTTATAGGCAATAATTTACACTGGCTAAGTGTGCATTTATTCAACAGTGACATCCAGTGGCATAATTAAAATTCTAAGTCCTTAATACAAATCTCGTTACATTTTAAAACAAGTAGTTAAATGATAAATAAAAATATTGACTGAGGAAATATGTGCTTACTCTATTCACACTAATTCTGTATCTCTCATCTAGCTTCCTATATTTTGCTACTAATGCATCAAATTAAGCTAGCAAATCAGTTGACTAATTGACTGGTGATGGGAGCAGAGCAGATGGCACCCAGATAACCAGAGGGTGCTGGAGACAGCTCTGTGCCCAGGGGCTATGCATGGGGCATGTCCCAGGGCAGGGCTGTGCTGAGAGCATCCATAGAATAGCACATCCACTCAGCACCGAGCAGCCCAGGAAGATGGGTGTTATCATCTCCCTTTTAATGATGAAGCAACTGAGCTGTAGGAGGATGAGACAGCTTACCCAAGAACACCTAGGAGGAGATATAAGTAGGAAAAGGAATAGAGTGTGTATCTAAGCCATCCAAAGCCCATGGTGACTCAAGGTTTTCTTTACTTCTTTGCAATAAAATTGGAATATATTCTTTGTCCTCTAAGTAAAAGACAGTCTGAAGAAAATCCATAATTACCTAAGACAAAGGATTCAACACATGAGCTTCTATTATTATGTACAATGGTGCAAAAACCTAGCAGAGAAATTAGCAAATAGAAGCAAATTGAAGGTGCCTTATAAATGCTAGTTAGAAGCCTACTCGGTGGCACACTGGTGACACACTGCTCCGGCGATGCTGGATCCATATGGAAGGACACAGCTTGGATATCCATTTAACTGGAATATGCTGTACCCACATGCTATAATCCAGAGTGGCTGGGAGGGCAGGGGGATCGCAGCAGGAGATCCTGTTGAAGATGCGGGTCTTTCTGTTTCTCTCCTTCTCTCTTCCTCATAGAAGAAATAGAAATTAAAAAAAAAAAAAAAAAACTTTAAAAAATATAAATGCTAGTTAAACTTAACTGAATTCATACCGTATTAGTAACTGATGAATTGTTCACTAATATTACGACTGATGTTAGGTGTTCTTCATCTAAGACAGCGTAAGGTAGCAATCTTCTACTCCTGTGGGAGTCTCTTAATTGTGTTTGTTTCTAAATATCTATTTCTCTCTGTACTTAAAAAAAGCTATCTTTGTTTCAGGAACCATAATTTCTTAAAGGGAAAATAACAGAAACACTAGATCCTTTTCTTGCTGTATGAGCTTAGGCAACTGATTTATCTTTTCCATGTCTCAGTCCTCTCAGCAATGGAATGGGGATAATAATAGCATCTACTTCATAGGATTACGGTGAGGATTAAATGAGTTAATATATGTAAAGAACAGAGAATAAGATCTGATAATAAATGAACAATAGATAGTAGTGTTTGGGACCAGCAGATGGTGTTTGTCGCTGGAATCCCACATGGCCAACCATGGTTCAAGTCACAGACCCAGCAGCTTGAAACACACCAGCACCCATGCCTGTGCGTGTATGCCCAAGATCCCAGGAGGATGATGGAGGAGAAGGGATTGCAGCGTGGCCATCCCCCCCTGAGGATGATTTCTTGCTTCCTGTCTCCACCTCTCACACACACACAAAAAGTAGTGCTTAATTTTATTATCATTATTATTAACACCCATTATCACCATCATTACCACTGTGAGGACTCATGGGAGCTATTCATCCTTATAGTTTCTAACTCTTTTCTCAGACTTCTAGAAATCCTATAGTTACTTAGGACAGTTGAAACCAATAACAGTATATTTAGAAACTTTCTTGTTGATCAGTCTGCAGAATAAAATATAGTGATCAGATTGTCAAATCGTTAAGTGGCAGCATGTGTAGTGGTTGAGAAAGTCACCGCCATTACTGACAAGCTGTTCATGGGAGAGACAGTTACCTCACAACTCTAAATCTCCATTTCCTCATTTGCAAATTGGAGGATAATCTTGTCCTCAGGTTAGTTGTGGAAGTTTAATGAGGCATTCAAGTACAAGGCACCAATAAATGCCTGGTAATTTATCAGTTGCTGTCATCATTATTATTCATACATTTGTAACCATATAGAAATATTTATTTTCTTTAATATGTTATTGTTTTTTAGTTTTTTGAGAAAGTTGAAGAATCGGGTCTGGAATCTGAAGGAATTTTTCGACTTTCAGGATGTACTGCCAAAGTCAAGGTACATTTCTCTCTTGCTAGTTAAAGACCTAACTTAGCCGGACTCAGTTTATAAGACCGTCAGGTGTCTAGTTATTTTTCGTTATCATCAATCATCTGACACTATCATTTGGCCTTACCTAGTATTCCTCAGAATCTATTATTAAATGTTCTATAAACAACTATTGTGTATCCTTTTAAATAAAACAACAATATAATGCCAATGACAATGAGACAACATAACAAAAACTGTTGCTTGTCTTTAGTTTGGAAATGTAAAATGTCTATCACTGTTTGAGAGGAGAAACACTTTAGTTTCTTGTGTTCCTCTTAGTCATGGAGTTCACTAAGCCAATATTATATTAGCCCTTATTACTTTTTATCATTCTTTGGCTCTCTTTTTAGTGAAAGTTCCTATAAGTATTTGTGGCAATGGCCATAACCACTTAGAATACTTACTCTGTATTTCTATATACCAGTTCCATTTTCATTAATGGTAATGTCTGTGTTCAGCACCACCCATGCAGTGTGAATCCTTCTACTTTGCTTTCTTACTTCTGTAAGGTGGTCAACTCTGCAGTACAATGAAGAATCATTACTACTGGGGGATGCAGCCAATGAAGCATTCATCCCAGTCATTGGAGCACTCTCTGGCTTTCACAAGGAAGCAGTTTTGAATGTTGAATCCCTGGGAATAGAGTCTAAGGGTGAAGGGAAAATTAATTTCATTGTGTTTAGGACTATTAAAAGCAGTTAGTATAATGGCTATGACACAGGACTCCCATGTAGTCGACCAATGTTCGAGTCCCAGCCCGATGGCTTAAACTCACACCGGGCAGGTGTGCATGCGTGCCCAAAACCCTGAGAGGAGAATGGAGGAGAGTAATTTCTCACTTTCTTTCTCCCTATTTCTCTCTTTCTGGTGAGCGCACGTACCCTATAGCAAAAACCTCTCCAAAAATAAAAATAAAAAAATAAATTAAAAAAAGAGGAAATGCGTGGAGGCAGAAAAGTATCTCTTCATTAACTCTTTTGGGAACCTGTTTTGAGAAATTCTGTTCATATCAGAAGTCTCATGGTCTCTATATAAAAGTGTGATGAGATGTTTTTTTAGACTAGAAACTGAGAATAAACAGTCTGTGTCTACTGGATCCTCCAGAAAGCATATGCTGAGAAAATTAGTCGATGAGGCTTACTGGAGGATAACCCTCTGCAAGGCAGAGGGTTAGGAAGCAGGACTGGGCAGGGTTCAGAATAAAATATAGTGATTAGATCTTTCTCTGCCTCTCTCCTTCTCTTTCTCCCATCCCCATAGAAGAAATAAAAATAAATAAACTTTAAAAAATATAAATGTTAGTTAAACTTAAACTGGATTTCTTCCATATTAGCAGCTCATGAAATGTTAGCTAATATTACAATTGATGCAGAACTTGGTTCCTTCCCTTAGAGCAGAGGAGCCCTGCACTGGCAGAAGTAGTCAGGTCCTTGTACCCCCACTTTGTTCAGTCATGGGTGGGCCTTCCTGTGAAGAACATGCTGAGGCAGATCCAGAGGGGCTGGGCAAGTCAGCTATTGGGAACTTTTGCAGATGAATGGCAATTTGTCTTTGGAAGAGAGATCTGAGCAGGACAGCAGGGTCTTAACTGATAGCATTGGGATCAGGCCACGTTGGGCAGTTAAGACTTCCCTGAGAGTGGTATTGGCTAAATACTGGCAGAAATTAATTCAGAAGGCAGGAAAGTTCCTAAGGGCCCCTTAAGGTTTATACTTTCTATGTGGAATCTGCTTTTAGTGACTATTGCTCATTTATATACACTTTTGAACAAATGTATGCTAAGTCTGAGGATAAAAGCTATCCCTAGTTTTGGTCAAATCTTTGGTTATAGCTGTAGACTCAGAACCAAATGAAGTCAGGACCAGCAGTTAGCGTAATGGCTATGTCTCTGGACTCCCACATAGTCGACCGCAGTTCGCGTCCCAGACCCAGTGGCTTAAAACTCACGCCGGGCGCGTGTGCGTGCGTGCCCAAGATCCCGAGAGGAGAATGGAGGAGAAGGGACTGTGGCGAGGCCATCCCCCCTGGGGGGTGATTTCTTGCTTTCTGTCTCTCTGTCTCTCTCTGTCACTCTGGCGAGCGCACATGCCCTATAGCGAAAACCTCTCCCAAAAAAAAAGAAAAAAAAAAAAAGAACCAAATGAAGTCAAAGAAATGAATTTCCTAAACAAAATCAGACTCCATCCCTCAAACCTCTTTCTGCAACTGGAAACTATTCGTTCACTTACTTACTGGTTTCTGTGTATGTGCATGTGTGCGTGTGTGTGTGTGTGTGTGTGTGTGTGTGTATGTGGCAGGGTGGAGTGTATGGTTAAATACTCTTTTCCCAAACAATCAAAAGTAGAAAGGTTGGGCATTTTTGATTTGCATGAAGTTTAACATCACAACAGAAGTTATTTTTTCTATAGCTAATCTTTGACTGAAAAAAACTTATCAAAGACTAATAACTCCTTCAAAGTGTTTGAATAGGCACTGGAAAAGAAGCACATTTAGGTCAAAGTCCCTTTTGTCCTCTAATCAGTTTTATGCAGTTTCAGCCTATTTATTCCATCGCTTGTTAGTCCCAAAAATATAATCCAGATGTTTTCATGTTTGAGCTCCAGAAAAGCCCATGTGAAGGAAATCTGGGCCAATGAACAGAAACAGGAACATGTTGCAGTTTGAAAGACAGTGTAACTTGATGCATTAAAGGGGTCCTTATTTCTTTCCTTTATTTGATTTCAAACTATCTTTTTGTTCTTGACGTTGTAATATTATCCACTGGACTACTTTCTTTAGGAATGTGCTTTTTTTAGAAAGACTCCAAGCCCAGTCTCAGTGGCTATAGTGCTTGAAGCCACATGACTCACCACAGGCTCAAGATCCCAAGTTGACCTGAAAGCACACTGGGCTGGGTGCGTGGGTAACCAAGATCCTGGTGAGTGGGAGGGCTGAGCACATGGGAACTCGGTATGGTGAGACCTTGCCGACGGTACTTCTTTCTCTCTCTCTCATGCACACAGGCACGCATTGTCTCTCATGAATAAAACAAACTTAAACATATCTCTGTATAATTATCATCAAATTGTGCCAAGTAGATGACACCAACAATGAGGCTGCACTAATATGTCACTGTCATGAACAATCCAGCTGGCTGTGTGTTTTAAACACTTGGTAAGATTGACAGGGAAGCAGCCCTGAGAGGAAACTGCTAGTTTTAGCCAAAAAAGGAACACACAATTGCAAAGCTAGTTCCCGTATTTCAGGCCTCAGATGATTTGGAACTAATTTAATGCTTTGGTGTTTCCAGCGATTTTTTTTTTTTTCCAAAAATGACAGAAATTTGAGCTAACCACTGGGGAATACTCTATGGAAGGAGGCAAAGTGTTTGACATGAGAAGTTCTTTCTTGATTAATGTCAATTATTTTGAGGCCGTTCTAAATGTTTTATATTTATGTCACTTGGTTTATTGGTTTCCTTTCTTAAACCATTTGTTGGAAATGAAAGCTGGTCATCTGCATTCGTGTGACAGTACCTCAGAAAAAGTACCTCAGAAAAGCAGGTTGTGTTTTCCTCATATATTTAAGGACACAACTTCTGACCTATGCCTAGTATTCTCAGTAACAGTGGACAGAAAATATGGTTTCTTTAACCTCTAAGTGTTTCCTGTCATTGACAAGATAAACTTACACGTAGTTACACATAGTTTGTATGGCTAAACATTTAGGACCACTGCTGACATATCAGCTCTGTTTATACACTGCACAATGGAAACTGAAAGAAAACATCCTTTTTCTTGGTTTTATATTTTGTTTAGCTTTGTTTTGGGCCTTTTTACCCCCAAAGTTAATCCATCTATTTCTTCCAAGAAAGAGAGAGCCAAAGAGACCCCCAACAGGAGCCTCTGCCACACCCTACCACTGGCCCTGTTCTGTGTATTTCACATGGGATTGTCTGTTTTAATCTCAGGGAAGTAGATTTGATATGCCTTTGTGCAGTGAGAAGCTTAAGGCCCAGGTCATGTAACTCATCAGTTATAGAGCTAAGATAAAAACCTGAAGGATCATTATAATTTCTGCCTCTGGCCTTGGTGCCTGTTGCCTGTATGTGACTGGGAAGCAACCGCTCTCAGTTTAGAAGGAGGGTCTCGTTTGTGATCAGATAGATAACTGAGCAGAGGTCTTGCCAACTTGAAAAACAATTTGCCTTTGTCTTAAGGCAGTAGTACCGCCATCATGGAAACCGTTCCTCCTCCTGCCTCTCCTATTAATATCTCCATTTGCCAATCACAATAGAGAACCATCTTGGACTTCATTTCTCCCCCTGAGTCTCATATTTGATCCATCAATGATCCTTGAGAATTCTCCCTCATTGGCAGATCTTAATGCTCCCTTTCCATTCTAGGCTGTAAGTGCTTACCCAAGTTAACCCTTGATTATCTGTCACTAAAAGTGATGCCTTAACTGGATAACTGATTTCCTTGTTTCTTACCTGCTTCCAACCCACAGCACACTCCACACTCTCCTAAATCCTTTTCCAACTGGCTGTCAGAAAAGATACATCTCCTTCTATGCCCATGATGCTCCAGCAACACTGAACCAATTGCAGTTCCCTAGACACACTGGGTGTTCTTATATTCATATCCCTGCATGAGCAGGTTCTTCTATCAAGCAGACCCTTCTATTTCTTCTCCCTCTGGCAAAGTCCTCAGTAGTCCTCAAGATCTGGCCGCAGAAGAGATTGAATTTCCTTTCAGGGCTGCATAGCACTAATCCATGACCTTCCTTACCACATGTGCACTCTGAATTAGTATAATCACTTTACAGAGGAGTTCATCGTTGGACTACAAGATGCCTAAAGGCTAAGAATAGACCTCATGTATTCCAGGGCCCAGTCTAGTGCTCTGCGTCTTTTCTTCTTGGAAGTGCTTTATATGTGAAGTTAAGATTTTATAAGGTGCATCTGTCAGCAAAGGATTGCTTGATTAGCTGTAGTATTGATGTAAGATTGAAAGCTGCTTCAGGATAGGAAGAAAAACCTCCTTTTGATGTTATCAGTAGGGATTAGAGAGTGGATCAGAAGCACATGTACCTCCGTAAGAAATTTGTCCTTGGGGGTCAGCAGATGGCATAGTGGTTACATTGCTGGATTCCTTCATGGCCTACTGTTCTTCAAATCCTGGACCCAGTGGTTTAAAAACTCATGTTGGACATGTATGCATGTGTGACTAAGATCCCACGAGGAGAGTGGAGGAAAAGGGATTGCAGTGTGGCCCTATCCCCAACACCTCCCTGAGAGATTATTACTTGCCTTTTCTCTCTCTCTTTCTGTCTCTCTCTCTCTCTCTTACTCTCACAAGCGCAGGTGCCCTAAGGCAAAAAACCTCTTAAAAATAAAAGAAATGTGTCCTGCCAAGGTTGTTATTTTGCAGGCATGGGAGTAATGAGAGCTGGTAGGTAAAGATCACAGGTACCAATTGACTGGCTATACATGTCCAAGGCAAAAAGAACTAGGCTTCGAGTGAGAATAAAGCAGAGGG